TTTGCTGCAGACCACAAAACCATGGGAAACGCAGAAAGTCAAAATGTAGAGCATGAGTTTTATGGAGAGAAGCATGCCAGCCTGGGGCGCAAGCACACGTCACGCTCACTGCGCCTCTCGCACAAGACGCGGCGGACAAGGCACGCTTCCTCGGGGAAGGTGATCCACAGGAACTCTGAAGTGAGCACCCGGTCCAGCAGCACCCCCAGCATCCCCCAGTCGCTGGCTGAAAATGGTCTGGAGCCCTTTTCCCAAGAAGGCCCCCTTGACGACTTCGGGAGCCCCATTTGGGTGGACCGCGTGGATATGGGCTTGAGACCCGTGTCTTACACGGACTCTTCCGTCACTCCCAGCGTAGACAGCAGCATCGTCCTCACAGCAGCCTCTGTGCAAAGCATGCCAGACTCCGAGGAGAGCAGGCTTTACGGGGATGACGCTACATATTTGGCTGAGGGAGGCAGGAGGCAGCGTCCCTATACATCCAATGGGCCCACGTTCATGGAGACTGCAAGCTTTAAGAAGAAACGCTCCAAATCTGCAGACATCTGGCGGGAGGACAGCCTGGAATTCTCACTCTCTGATCTGAGCCAAGAACATTTAACAAGCAACGAAGAAATCTTGGGTTCCGCCGAAGAGAAGGACCGCGAGGAGGCTCGGGGGATGGAAACTCAGGCGAGTCCGCGGCAGCTCAGCGCCTGTCAGCGAGCCAATTCCCTGGGTGACCTGTATGCTCAGAAAAACTCTGGGGTGACAGCAAATGGGGGCCCGAGGAGCAAATTTGCAGGCTATTGTCGGAATTTGGTGTCTGATATTCCCGATCTTGCAAACCATAAGATGCCACCAGCTGCTGCTGAAGAGACTCCTCCGTACAGTAATTATAACACACTTCCCTGTAGGAAATCTCACTGTCTTTCCGAAGGTGCCACCAACCCACAAATTAGCCATAGCAACAGCATGCAAGGCAGAAGAGCAAAAACAACTCAGGTAAAGTGATTGAGATCTGTTTCAATATTTTGGAAATGGTGCATGACTCTTCGAGTGCATGGTTTTGCCCTTATAATATTCCTATCTTTTAATCAGGTTTTACCCTGCTCGCTGGCAGCTGCTGTAGCCAGTGCTGCTTCTCTAAGGGTTCCTCTCTTCTGCTGCACCCCTCTTATAGTTCTGTGATTAAGGGGTGGGGATTAAGGGAAGTGTGTGGGGTGATGTGGTAGAGTGGGAATGCAACTGATAAGTTCATCCTGGGAAACTGCCTCCACAACAGTTCTGCAACCGCGTCTCACTTACTCGGGCTTCTTTTCTAACTTGGCCCTTTCCGTGGACAAACAGGCATGGTGGGTCGTGGACTCTTGGAGCTTATGTCTTCACTGCAGCAGGTGGGAAGAGGTTAGTCGGCAGTTCGTTTCAGGAGGCATTTGTAATTCAGGGCGGTCTTGGGTCACTTGTCAGCCTCTCTCTGTGGTTGGCAGGCTTGCTGCCTTACCAGGAGTCATTTCAATTTCCTGTTCCTTGCGATGCTGGCCAGCCCTGTCTCTGGAGGGAGGTGTAGCGGAAGGAATAACATGGGTGGATTCCAGTTTCTACATCGCAGCCAACTGGTTGCTTGACCTTGGGCAAACCTGACTTCTAGTTGCTCCTCAGAAAAGTAGGGCTAAGGACGCTCTATGCCTGCTTCAGGTCCACTGCATGAGAGTGGGTGTGAAAACATTTTTAAAAGATTTGAAAGGTGACTTGCTAAGGAAAGGCGCCCATTACCTTAGCTGGCAGTGGTAACTAATATTAGGATAATAAACCGTTGCGCATCCCTGCATGCCTCGATTCTGTTCTGGTGCTGCTGTTCCCTGCGTCAGAGTCTGAGAGTCTTGGCATATACTGAAGCTGGGGAGGTGTTTTACAAGGGGATACCTCAGGGTGGAAATCCAGACTGGGCCCATTGCCTTGAAAGGCATGTCAGCCACCAGGGTGATGTGCAAGCACCACTGCAGTTAGCCCTCAGACCTGGCCAGAGGTGACAGTGCTGTGCCCTCTAGCGTGGCTCCGCTGCAAGTCAAATGGGCATTTCAGGGTCAAACTCTCTTAGAAAGGAGTCTAAATATAATGGGCAGGTAGTGGAGAGCCTAGGGCAGAGGGAAGAAAATTGACATTCAACTGTGTTCCTGCCCAAGGACAGGTTTTGCTGATGGTGTCCAAGATGGGCATTCCAGCTCCACCTCTCCTTACCTTGAAGATTTGGGCAAGTTATTTAAGTCTCTTGAAGCCTTACTTTCTTCATCTGTCAAATGGGAATGGTATTAACACTGTTTGAGAAAATGGAATGAATAGCATGAGAAGTATCCCATTTGTGCTTAAAAAGCAGCCAGTAATGGAGAGTTTGTTAGCTGTTTTAATTTCATCAATATTTGTGGTGTTGGATGTCTTGAAGACCCAGCATAGTTTGGTGTACTAGAAACAAAGTTGTTAAAAGGCTGGATCTGTAGTCTGAGAAGTAGGCATAATACTTAAATCTGGATACACTATCTGAATTTTAACCCATCTCTTTTCTAAATGGAGATTATAAAAGGCAGAATAACCTCCTTGTGGTCCTCTGCCTACCCTGTAAAGGCTCCTCTGGTACTACCTGGTTGACAGATCATGGACACAGGTGACTTATGGAAGGGTCACCTGAAAGGTACTGAAGGGCTGTCTTGAAGGCATTGTCCAATCAACATTACAGGACTTATCCAAAGAGATGGTCTGCTGGCCTTGGAGCCTGGACCAGGGTATTGACAGTCTTAAAAATGGAACATCACCCTTGACTTTCACTTTTACCTGCTAAGTGAGTACATACGAGGGGACTTTTAAAAGTTCATGGAGAAATGGAATCAAAATACAAGTTTATTTTGGTGCCAATAAATAAATAAAAATCCATGCATAATTTTTTCACAATAAGCATTTTCCACAAACTTTCTGAAGACCTTTGTGTCTTCTACAACATGTAAGCAAGTGCCCAGCTATGTTCTGGCTCTCTATAGTTCCAGGGTTCTAACACTGGGGACAGCTAGAGCTTTGCATCCCCTGCCCGGCTGGCTGGGGGGATTTGAGCCTTTGAGTCCCAGAAGAGGGACAAAATAAAGCAGTTCCCCCCTAGATCTGGTCCCATTGAAAGCACTTGCAGTGAGTGTTATATGAAATTTCCATCCTTTAGCTTGTTGCCTTCTAAATTGTTAATATATGGAAGTGAGATCATTGAAATGTGGTGTCTCATAAAGTCACTGCTTAGGCAGCTTAATGTAATGCCAAGCACCATGGACAGGAATCCTAAAAAGTGCATTTGCATCCTGGCTTGTCAGCTTCCCCCCTGGGTGACCTTGGGCCAGTCATCCTGTTTTATACGTCACAGGATCCTTCTCTGTCCATTCCAAGCAACACTAGCCTCCACGAGGGCCATTAAGAAAACCAAATGTTAATACCCACCATGCATAGGAGCCTTTTGAGGAGCCAATGAAATGCACGGAAGTATTATTTTCGTATTGACTTTATATGTTGAGTGAGGATTTTTAATGACTTGAAACAAACCCCAGAATTATGCACAACACTGTCCACCCGCCCACATTTCCGAGCCTAAGTTTGGCGTGTTCATCCAACGCGATTTCTTGAGAGCCCACTGTGTTCCAAACACTGTATTTTAAGAGGCAGTGGGTGTGGAAGCTTTCCTTGAAAATATTTTCTTTTTCTTTTTTCTGTTAAAAGTTTTTGACCCAGGGGACCTTTCCAGCAAGCTTGAATCATTGAAGTGAAAATCTCCTTGGCTGCCCTGGTGATATAGTTGAATCTGTAATACTCCTGTCAGCAGTTGTGTTCCCCAGAAAAGAGTTCCCCAGAAAAGAGTTCCTGGCAGACATTTGGTCCAAGAGCATGGCCTTTAAGCCTGAAAGAAAATATATTTTATGTGAAATAATGCAAACAACTTTGTTTGATTTGAAAATGATCAAAAACAAGGTTTTGGCCAATCTTGCTGTTTTTGTATTTGTTTTGTATTTGTATTTTGTAGCTGGGTGTATTACCAAACTGTGACGGCACTGGAGTCCAGGTTTAAGTTTTGAAATGTAACATATTATGCTGCATAGTGATTGACACATCATTACTTGTTTAATTCATACACAGGTTGAGTATCTATTAGTTGAAATGCTTGGGACCAGGAGTGTTTCAGATTTCTAATTTTTTTGGATACTGGAATATTTGTGTCTGCGTAATATATCTTGAGGAGACAGCTGGTGGTATGGTGGTTAAGGCAGCTGGATACCACATAGCAAATTATGTTGTTCAAGTCCTGTACCCAGTAGCTTGAAAAATATGCTGGACATGTGCATGCATGCCCAAAGTCCCAAGAGGAGGGTGGAGGAGAAGGGACGGTGATGTAACCATATACCTGGGGAGTGATTTCTCACTTTTTGTCTCTGTCTCTGTCTCTATATCTCTCTTTCTGGTGAGCACATGCAACCTGTAGCAAAATTAAAAAGAAAAAAGAGCAAAAACATGTAAGATATCTTGGGGATGGGACCCAAGTGTAAACACAACATTCGTTTATGTCTCATATATACCTTATACACATAGCCTGAAGGTATTTTATACAATGTTCTTGTATTGCAGTCGTTTTTGTTTAAAATTCGTTTATATTTCTTCTTTCATTAGAAAAGAGATGAGGGAGATAGGCAGAAAGGATCCTCATGTTGTGGTCCACGCCGAGGGTCAGCAGACCAGGATTATGGGGCTGCTGGACTCAAGAGATCCTAGGATGAGAACCCAGGACCTTTCCCATGTGGCAGAC